CCCCGCCCTCCCCCCCCCCCCCGCCGGCGGCGCCGCTGCCGCCGCGTCTCGTGAAAACCCCGGTGGCGGCAGTGGCGGTGGCGGAAGGGCCGAAGGCGGCGGGTGTTACGGCAAGACTTACACGCTCGCCGCCACCTCGTTGGAGGAGGCTCGCGCCTGGGCTAGCGCCATCAGGTGTGTGTGTGTGTGTGTGTTTTCTTTATTATTATTAGCATCGACCACGCGAACTGGCTGACCAATGAAAAGACGTCAGTCGCAGTGAGTGTGTGTCTTCTTAGTGTTTGCATCGACCGCGCTAACCGGCTGGCCGATGAAAAGATGCCAGTCTCAGTGCGTGTGTGTTTCTTGTTGTGATCGGCCGCGCTAACTGGCTGGCCGATGAAAATACGTCAGTTTTTCAGCGGGAGAAAAGAAAGTGTGCTTTGTGTGTGCGGGTCACGCAACGTTCCTCCCCCCTCCTTCGATCCGGTCTGGTGATTTTCTTTCCTCCAGTATGGTACTTACCTGATTGTGTTGAGCGCGTTGTTGCGTTCAGTGCGGCATGCGCTGTGTTGTTTTCGCCCCTCCCCTCCCCGTTCTATACATGAGCGAGACAATCACTTGTTGTCTGGAACGGAGGGGTCGGCGGCGGCGGCGGCTGTATACGTAAAATATCACACCTACTCCCTCTGTTGGGTTTTCGTCGCTTGGCAACGACGTTGTAAAACAAGCCGCCCCCCCCGGTGTTTGCCATCGGGATTGGGTTTTCGTCGCTTGGCAAAGACGTTGTAAAACAAGCCAATTCACTTCGTGAACTCCGCAACCAGGTTACCGTTTTTTTTTTTTTTACCTCCGTGTTTTTTTTTGGGCGGTAACCATAATGGTGGTCGAGTAGATCATGTTGTGCGGGGTGGAGAACCCTCACTCCGCGCAAGGGGGATGATCGCACCACGTTGTGTTAAAATGGTCAAGCACCCTCGAGGCAGTTACACAGTGCTTACAACTGTCTCTGGAAGTGAAAGCACCAGAAAATAAATTAAGTCATACGCAGCTGTCATCCGTACGCAAGGAAGTAAGCACAAGATGCCGAAAACCCTTAGCAGGATGCAGCGCACCCTTCATGCGACTCGCCGAATATCTCACGGCGCTTCGCGCTTGGTGATGTGAGAGCCTGGTCCGGTGAGAACCCGGCGTGCTCCGTCCCGGCTTTGTAGGGATGCGAGGTCAATGGTCTAACGACTACGGCATGCACGACTATGAGTACACCCCCCCTCCCCGTTCTATACATGCGCGAGGCAATCTCTTGTTGTCTGGAACGGAGAAGTCGGCGGTGGCGGCGGCTGTATACGTAAATTACCACACCTCCCGTGGCCGGTGTTTTCGTCGCTTGGCAACGACGTTGTAAAACAAGCCAACTCACTTCGTGAACTCGGCAACCAGGTTACCGTTTTTTTTTTTACCTCCGTTTTTTGTTTTGGCGGTAACCATAATGGTGGTCGAGTAGATCATGTTGTGCGGGGTGGACAATCCTCACTCCGCGCCAGGGGGATGATCGCACCACGTTGTGTTAAAATGGTCAAGCACCCTCGAGGCAGTTACACAGTGCTTACAACTCTCTCTGGAAGAATATAAATTAATTCATACGCAGCTGTGATCCGTACGCAAGAAAGTAAGCACAAGATGCCAAAAACCCTTAGCAGGATGCAGCGCACCCTTCATGTGACTCGCCGAATATCTCACGGCGCTTCGCGCTTGGTGATGTGAGAGCCTGGTCCGGTGAGAACCCGGCGTGCTCCGTCCCGGCTTTGTAGGGATGCGAGGTCAGTGGTCTAACGACGGCATGCACGACTATGAGTACACCCCCACTCCCCCCCGTGGACCAAATCTCGCGGCTCGATTTCGCCGCGCCGACAAGAGGATGCCCCAAAATCCAACTTGTATCCATGCGTTTGTTCGGTAAGCTCTCGACTAGGCGGTTCCGTTAGCTCCGCCGTCTTTCGGCACCCCCTGCCTAGTACTGGAGCTTTGAAAATCGGCCAATTGGGGGAGGGGTTGTTGTTGTTGTTGTCTTCACATTAGGACCGTTCCGGTCTCCGCTCTGTACCTTCTAATGTCCGTACTGGCCCAACTAACGCGGACGCCTTCCGTGGTCACAAGCAGGGTACCTTACGACTGCTACGGTAGTGTTTTCTGTTGGAGAGATGGGTAGCTACGAGTCCGTGTTGGAGGAGGTGACCCCCCATTATCATCTCGGCGTTTCCGCCTGCGCAAAGCTGTCGAAAGCGCATTTTTGTTCAGGAAGTGTGCGTACATTCAAAAGAGAGACTACTCCTTAGAAACATTACCACTGAGTCGAAGGGGATGGGTTGAAGTCTTCATAGTGAACGGGGGATTTCCTTTTTTCGTGTTGCCGGTGAAGCGAAGAGTGGACGGTCGCATTGTTCTCTCGGCAACCTGCAGAGTATCAATATCAGACCCGCGTGCGGCGCTTTACTTATCCGGCTGTTCCACACCTCGGTGATAAAGTCGGTAAGGGAGAACCCCTAAGAAGAACGAAAAACCTCTGTTTTTCGGTTGGTTCCCTCGGAGAGAGTACCTCTCTCCCCTCTCACCCACCCCTGCGCTTTCTCTCGTTGACTCAATTCATCCCTCTAGGTCCTACACAAGACCTTTTTTTCTTACCGTATCTCTCTGCAGTTCTCCTTGTACCTTGTTGGTGTAGAATAGTCGAAATATGCAAAGAAAGCGTGATCAACAGCTCTGATTTTTTGTTCCGTCGGGGTCCGTCGGATAGAGTACCTCCCCTACCCTCAGCCCACCCCAATCTGCGTGCCCCCCTGTTGCTTTTCACTGAATGGTCGATTGCACCAGGTCCGCCACCACGTCTGGCGAGGTGATGCAAAGGGGGCCGGAGGACGAGAACATGAAGGAGGAGGGGTGGGGTGGGGAGGGGGACGGTGGGGAGTGGGCGCGAAATCATGGGGAGCACGAGAGGAGATCGTCGTCGTCGTCGGTGGGGCCGATTGCGAGCCGCCCCATGGTCGCCGGCAGAGACGGCAGCGACGGCAGCGGCGACGGCAGCGGCGACGGTGGCGGCGGCCGCGGCATTGGGTTGGCCGCGGGGAGCGGCGGCGCTCCGATATTAGCAGCGTCCACGGCGGCAGGGGCGACGGCGGCGACAACAGCGAGACCATCGGTGGCGGTGGCCGGGAGAGCGCCGTCGCCGTTGTCGTTGTCCCCGCCGTTGTCAGGGCGAGAAGCCAACAGTAACGGGCGACCAGCCTCCTCTTCCTTCCCCTGGGAGGAGGAGGAGGCGCCTTCCACCGCGGCCGCTAGCGGAAATGGCACCGGAAGCCGCCGGCGCGAGTACGACCAGACCGTCGGGGACGACGACCCGGTCGCCGTCGCGGCGGTAGCGGCGGCGGCGGGAGCGGTGGCGGCTACGGCGGTGATTGCGGTGCTGTACTTGTGCGGCGGGGCCGGGTCGAGGGCGGGTGCGGGTGCGGGTGCGGGTGCGGGGGGAGTGTCGGCGGTAGTGTCTGGTCTTCTCATGCGAGTGCTGATTGTCCCGCTGGTGTTTGTAGGGGCGGCCGCTGGGGGGGTGGGGTTAGCGGCGGCGGCGGCGGCGGCGGCGGGCGGCCCGGGGGGGGAGACGACGAGGTGAGCATCATCATCATCATCATCATCGTCCGGTCGATGCGATATTGGTAGACAAAAGAAGAGATGCTGGGTTTCAAAGACATCGGTTCCATGTGCAGGAGAAAAGGGAGAGAGCAGGGTCTGGCCCCGTGTGTGTGTCAGGGAAAAACCCGCCAATCAGGATGTTGACATCGACAAAATGTATGCAAAAGGTGACCCCTTTCATATTTTGGGACACGGGAGCAGGAATATGCCGTAGGTTGCATTCGTAAGATAGCACACCCCCAGACTCGACTTTCAGAGCGCTCGATTTCTCGGCAGGAGAAACAGTGACGGCGTCGAGAACGGCGGGAGGCGTTGGAACCGTCTCGTCGAGAGCTTTCCGAAAGCGTGGGCTTCAGCGTCGGCATGTTCTATACGTGGTGCAATTGAACTTTGAAAATCGGTTCACAGGGTGTGGTACTTCACGCGTGCAACCTACGGTTGATCTCGACAAATAATGGGAAATAGGAGCGGAAGAAAAGGCTGGTCGTGCTCGGCTTGGACGACACGGATTTAGTAAGCAGGTTGGGTTGGATGATCTATACACTTTTTGGTGGCTCGTACGCGGAGAACACACGTTTCTTGCTGCTCTCCTGCCTCTCTTTTTCCCCCCCCAGACTACCGGCAGCAGTAGGAGCAGCAGCAGTAGCAGCAGCGGCAACCGCACGAGAGTACCTCTTGCAGCTCGGCGCCATCGCCGCGGCCGCCGCCGGCCGACGAGAAGAAGGAGAACGTTCCGGGGAACTTTCTCCGGACCGACGACCATCCAGGGAAATAGAAGGAGAAGAACGGTACTCGGCGGGGTTCTCCGTGGACGTGACGCCCATCCAGGCTCACCTCGATCGCCTCCGGAAGGAGCGCCGCGGAGACCGGCCGCCTGGGTCCAGGAGTGCACGGCGGGGAGCAACCGCGGTCGGGCAACAAGCACCGCCGGTGGGGGAAGACGCGCTCGGATCTCTGTCGAAGGCCGGGGACAGAAATTCGCACGTCAGCGGTGGTGGCGGTGGGGGTGGGGACGCCGTCGCCGCGGCGGCTGTCGTCACCGTCTTGCACCTGGTCGTGAAGGCGGCCGCTTGTTCGGTGCTTGAAACCCTGCCGTCATCTCCCTCGTCCACTCGAGGCACCACGGCCGGTGTTAATGCCCCTTCTTCTGCCGCCGCCGCCGCTGCTGCTGCTGCTGCTGCAGTGGGCGGCGGAGGTGAAGGCGGTGGCGGCGAGGACGGCGGCGGTAGGAGGGGCCGCACGACGCTGATCGCTTGCCTGTGGAGAAAAACCAGCCGCTCAGCAACAACAGCGGCGACTGCGGCGGCGCCGGCTCTCGTCGCACCGCCGGGAGGAGGAAGAGGAGAAGGAGGAGAGGGAGGAGGAGGGGCCGCAGAATCATACGCCGTTCTTCGGAATACTGCCACGACTGGGCGGCACGCACCCCCCCTCGGCCGCGATGAAAAGCGCCACAAGTCGGCAGGAGGAAGGGCCGGCGGAACCTTGGTATTGGTGGCGGGAGCCGAGAAGAAGACGGCGAGCTCCATCGCCGCCGAGGTTGCGGTGGCGGTGGCGGCGGCGGCTGCCACGGGGGGGTCAAGGGGAAAGGGATCCAGAGCGCCCGGCGTCGAACCTTTCACCGGAGACGGCATGACGGCGGCGGCGGCGGCGGGGGGGGGGTGGATGGGAGGAGGGTGCCGCTGTTGCATCAAGACGGGGATCAGAGGCTTGCGTCGCGGGCGGGCGGATGCAGCAGCGGCGACGGGAGTGACGGGAAAGCCGGAGGAGAGCGGGAGTGGCGTGGGGGGCGGCGATTGGTTCCTCTCCTGCATCCGGAAGCTGTCTCTGGCATGCTCCGGACCGGAACGCTGGCCGGCGGTAACGGTAACGGCGACGGCGGGGTCGGTAGCGGCGGCGCTGTTGCCGGCGCTGCCTTCGCGGCCGTGCGATGGGTAGCGGAGACGATAGGGGGAAGCACGCAGCGGCGGCGGACGGGGACGGGGCCCCGGCGAGTGGACTGCTTGGTGGAGATAGGATCGTCGCCCCAACCGACACCGTCATATCCACGCTCATCCCCCTCCGCCACTACCACCCCGATCCCGGTTATTACGGTGCTCAATCCGGGGGGGGAGGGGGTCGGTGCCCCATTACGTGTCACCGTAGGCCGGGTGAGCGCCTTCAACCCCACCGACGGCGGCGGCGGGGAGGACAACGCTGCTAGCGGCGGCGAGGCCGGGGGCAGCGGCGGCGGCGGCCCGGGGCTACCTGTGATAGTGCTGGAGGTCTCGGTGGTGGGGGACACAAGGGTTGGGCGCAGGGGAACCGGCGAGTTTGCCGAGGCACTGAAGCGACGGCTGCTGGCGCCCGCGTAGACCGTTTTTTTTGTAGAGAGATGAGATGGCGTGGAGCCTCATGAAGTAGTAGTCTCGGCCCCCAGGGAGAAGTTGTAGTGTGAAAGCGTGGCGCTCGTGCAGATAGCAAGAGGAGATAGATGTCGGCGCCCCGGTTTGTCTGGCATGGGGAAAAAAATTGGTCGGCAGGTTGTATGTCTAGAGGCTGGTGTGGGAAAATACTGGCTGGCAAGTTGTAAGTCTAGAGGTTAGCGGGAGGGGGGAGGGGGGGGTGTACGGGGATGTGCAGATGGCACCCGCCGTCAGGAGACGTTCGTCTGCTTGTCCGTTGTATGGCTGTTAGGATTAGGTGTGTGCTATTGGTTGATGTCGGGGGTTGGTTGCGAATCGGTGGATGGATATGTCAATGTGTTGGGTCTGTCTCCATGCGCGGGTCTTGGCTTGAGAGGTGGGGCGAGCGGCGAGAAGAAGGGTGCTTGGCACTTTTTTCGAATTACCGAGCGGTTGTTGTATGAATGCACCATATGTATGTATGTGAAGTATGTTCTATGTCACGGAAATAGGAAAGAGAGAGGCTACTGCATGCTGTCGGGCGGGTGGGCCCCATGGCGGATAGTTGAGGTTGTAGTGGTGGAGATCTCGTTACAGAGCATCATCAGGACCCTGGCTGTTTGCAATAGCCAAGGTGCATGTCGTTTCATGGGCGATTCCGACAGTTCCATGGCAACCGAGGTCACGAGTAGAAAGTTTGTTGAGGAATGAATCGAAACGTTGTTTGGATTTTGTGTAAAGACGGTGCGCACAAAGATGTCCCCAACATGCAGTCACCCACGTCGGGACTTGAGCCTCCGAAGCTCTATCCTTGGTGCAGCTCATGATAGAGACAAATACTGAACGGCTGGTCACCATACATTTTTTTTTTTGTCTCCCATTCTTGGACTCTGTCTGCCCCTCTGGCCCCTGCCCTCCACTTCTACCAGCTAGACGACCCAACCGGGGTCACATAGGAGGGGGGGGTTGGACCCCCTCCTGCTATTCCTGCCTGAGATATTTTTATCGCGAGAAGGGTACAGCAATCCCTTCCCTCGCGACTTACGAAGTCGATCATGTTTACTAACAACGAGCTTTGCAGCGCGTCGCTTCCAAGGGAGACCAGGATTTGACTAGCGAGAAAAAAATCATTCTGTCGGGACTCGAACCCATGACCTGGCCCTTGGCAGGCTGCGAGGCTACCCACTAGACTCCCGGGGCGATCGGTGCGGCATGTAGACACCCGGATATAGCCGGCTGCGGTCCGCACGCCCCCCTTCCCCCCCCTGGTTAGAAAAAATGCATCGATCCCCAAAACATACTTTGACAGTCATGCAGGACACATCGGCGTTAGGGATGACATGCCCAAACAACGATGGAAATCAACCCCAGCAGCCACATTACAGCAATTTTCCTTGTTGCGCTCTCCCATCGTTTCTGTTGGGCATGAACCAACGTCGTGCTTCTGCGGTGGGGAATCGACGACCCCTTGGAGCACGGAGCGTCAAGCGCGTGCGGCGACGAGCGCTCGGGGGACTCGACTAAGAGCAATTGTGCCGGGGTTTCTACGCCATGAGCGTGTACCCCCAGTCGTAGTATATTCGCAACAAGTTATTCGTTCGTTCGTGTTGTTGTGCTGTGTCTTGGTGGTGTAGCTTCTCGCGTGGCGGCGGTTTACACGCACACCGACCGTGACGCAACACGAGACATGGCCCAACACATCGTGTACACATGAATTTGCCGATCGTTGACGTTGGTTGTGAATGCCATGGAACGCCGTGGAACATTCCTTGGAATGTTTGTGAAGCATGTATTCTCAGCACTTTGTGTCGCAACGGGGTGGATTCGTAGGCAAGTTCGTGGGGGCTTTGCAGAGTGAACGGTTCACTACTTCGTTGTCCCTGGGACTGTACACGAGGCTGAGTGATCGGGCGGATGAAATCGAACCTTGAATATGACCGACATTCCGCGGTATGTGACGTATGGAGCATTGTGACCAACGATGTCTACCGTGTGAAATCAGTAGGTTGGGATATTGAGGGAACCTGTGCAAAATTGAAGTACCACAAGTACGTATCGCGGGTGTTGTAGTGCTCTGTGCCATTGTGGAGAGCGAATATCATCGCAGCGGGGGGAGGCACGCATCGGGCGTATCGGCACAATCACACACGAGCTACTGGCTTTGTGATAGCCCCAGATTGGACTACAGTGTATATATATGAGTCTCCTTTATTTTTCCGTGATGATGGTTCACCCACGTACTTGCCGGCATTCTGAAAATGACCGTCGCAGTGCAGATGGTTGAACGTACTTCGAAGAACGAAGTAGAATCAGAGCGCTGCTCCATTGGGTTTTGTGCGCGTACGGCCACAGAAGACAGTGCATGGCACAGGTGGTATAGGCCAATTGCAGGAGGAGTCTTCGGTGCGGGGTGTGTAGCATGACGAGGGGATGACCACCAAAAATTAGTCTGCACGACAATTCGTTGAGCGCTGTGACGCAAGAGCTGAGCCATTACTTTATGGCATCCTTTGAGCAAGACTTTTTCATGTGTCGAGTCAGTTTGCAGTCGTGCTAAAACAATCTTGCTGTCGGCTGTCTTCGCTGGCCTGAGCGTAACAACCTCATCTCGGAAACGTTCCAGCCGCGGGCCCCAAGACTCGTAGCGCTATTATTGTAGCCGAGTTAGAGCACGGTAGGATGTGGGAATGCGATCGGTGGAGACACCACCTCTCAAGAAGGTGCCGATACGTCCGTTCTCACAGTGTGTGGGTTAGTTCGCTGGAGATGACGACCAAGGTAACTTGTGGACTGCACATCTTCCGTCCTTAACACGAAGCCCCGACAATATTTTCCGCTCTCTTCGAAGAAAACTACAGCAGCAGTACAGCACACAATATCTGATCTGCACGCCCATCATCGCCGACGCCCACTCGCATGTACGTCTGTGTCAACAGTCAAGACGGCTGGTTTGCGCTTTTTCCACATATTGTGTGGGTCCTTCAAGAAACCGAGACTTCAGATTCCTGCACGTGGCTGCTTCAAACTAGGGTCTAGTCTACATACACGAGGTGGCTCTTCATCTACACGAAATACGCGAAGGGACCGTCACTCAGTCAGCCGCTTTTCACTGAGACCGTCATTATCTCGGGACGTTCTTGAGCCCACCCGAGATAGGAAACGTGATGGATTGTACTGATGGGACGTATTGCGGTGGTCAACGTATGACCACCGACGGCGCAGACCAACCGAACGGGTGCAGGTACTCCGATTCACCCCACACAATGGAAACCCAGCACCTGACCGCGTGAACCAAGTCGCATGCGTACGCGTGTGTTGACAAGCCCGAAAACAACGTGACGATAGTCGGGCTTCGAGAGCGGGACCATCTCTTGTAGGAGACGAGACGATCCTTGCTGACGGTAAGGGTCAGGACGAAGGCGTCAACGATTACCGTCGCACCAGCGGCCATCGACCGTGGTCTACCGGAAGTTCACACACTGGATGGGACGTTGCTCGATACGGGCTACAGTTATCGGACGAGTGAAACGCCCTCTCTGTCGTACGAGGGTCGAAGAGTGAGGCATGAGCGCGCGCATTTGATCCGCTTCTTCTTTCCTCCGGGGTTGCACCCAACAGCTTACAATCCTTGCTCTCGCCGTGATCGAACGAAGCGTAACGTACACGTCTGGAGCTATTGCAGGCATCGTTGCCGGTACAAATACCCAGAGTGTATCTAGATTCCTTCCCGATGTGTGTTTTCTCCCGCCGTCGCTTACCGGTTCGCAGCACGTGTGCTTGCTCCATTCTGTGCACCACCGATCTATCACGTCTTGCGCGGAACGAGAGGCCCGACGTGACAACAAACAAGGGCCCGAGCACCTATTGAAAGATTATAGGACACTCCAAGACGAAGGGTACGGATCGGATATAGGCATAGTGAATGAGCATCTCCCGGCAACTTTCACATATTCACTCAAAGAAGCACAGCGAATGAGTGACCACATCACCTCGCTGCGGACCCCTAGGGTACTACCCGACACATCTCAACGGCCTTGACTGCTACTTTGACCCCTGACCAACCGCTTGCCTTCGCTTTCACAAACAGAATAAACAACATATATATTGTGAAATTGAGAGCGAAGCATGAAATTGAGAGCGAAGCATGAAATTGAGAGCGAAGCATGAAATTGAGAGCGAGAGCCCAAAAATTTGAAATTCGGGTCCAGACGCCTCTTGCCATTTATTGAGAAGTAGGGGGCGGGCTCTTCCAAGAAGCGGCGCAAATTAAAGGCATCATCAGCAGCGTCACGAGCATATGCGCNAAGCATGAAATTGAGAGCGAAGCATGAAATTGAGAGCGAGAGCCCAAAAATTTGAAATTCGGGTCCAGACGCCTCTTGCCATTTATTGAGAAGTAGGGGGCGGGCTCTTCCAAGAAGCGGCGCAAATTAAAGGCATCATCAGCAGCGTCACGAGCATATGCGCGTCATCGTCATCGGATGCTGCAGCTAGGAGCTAGACAAGTTGCTAGATTTCCCCAGATTGGCTATTCCTGCCTCAAACTGTTGCAGGGCGGCTTGGCCTCGGGCCGTGGGCTCTGCTGTAGCTTCTGCTCACCGCTGTAACTCCACATCGAGAGCCTCCCACAGGATGACCATGGTATCTGCTTGTAGCTACGGGCTGGTCCTTCAATTCAAGCTACACAGCAAGCTGCAGCTCTCAGCAGTAGTCTAGCTGCAGCGCATCGCGCAATCTCGCTCTCAATCAGATGCTTCGCTCTCAATTTATGCTGTTATTACTGTTGATCTGTGCACGTCGGAAAATATCAATTACCCACAAGAAGACGAACATTTTTCACTGAAGTGGGCCGTACTTCAAGCGTATCACTCTTTTTGGTGGGCAACATTCACTAAAAAACATACCGTACTTGCAAAAAGCCTTGCTCATTGTATCATCATCGATCACCAACCTTCACTATACATTCACTCATGTTCACCATGACACACGGGTAACCGTCTCTCAAACTATGTACGTGGGAGTGCGTAGTACCTTGACATAGCTCCATCATTGGCCAATGGGAATGGCGATCAATGATGATATCACATCAAGAAATGCTCAACCACACTACCAGTCTCAACCGCCTTAACCTACTGTAGAACTAATACGCAAGACGGTTACTATACTATTGTGACCCAACTGTGAACAAGACTGAAGGCCCTTGCCTTTCATCAGTAAGTTGGGGTAGTCGATTACAGTAGACCTCAGCCAACCGGGCCTTCATCCGCAGTGAAAATAATGTACCAGGGGCAAGCCTCGTCCGCCATGCTTCCCATCTACGCCTCCCAAAACAGCAATAATTTCCCTCCCCCCCCAAAAATAATGTGAAGACAAATAGACCACGGCAATGAACGGTAACAACACTTTCCGATTGCTGCTGAGTACGGCTATCGTCCGTCATGGCCCCAACCCTGACGCGGCCGCCCCCGGTGGTCACGGAATCGTACACAAACAGGAACACCGGTCACCCCGGTGGTCTAGTGGGTAGCCTCGCAGCCTGCTAAGGGCCAGGTCATGGGTTCGAGTCCCGGCAGAGTGAGTTTTTGTCTCACTAAATAAATCCTGGTCTAGGATGAAAGCGACGCGCTGCAAAGCTCGTTGTTAGTAAACCATAATCGACTTCGTAAGTTGCGAGGGGAGAGAATGCTGAACCCTTCTCGCGATAAAAACACCTCAGGCATGAACCTCAGGAGGGGGTCCAGCCACCCCCTCCTATGTGACCCCGGTTGGTTCGTCTGGCTAGTAGAAGTGGAGGATAGGAGTCAGAGGGGCAGACGACATAGTCCAATGATGGGAGAAAAAAAAATAGGAGAGACATGGGAGAGAAAAAAAAATGAACTAGAAAAAATGCAAAGCAGGAAAGACAGAAAGAAAACGCATGGAATCCAATGAATTCCCCTCTTGAGTGAATCGGCCCTGAGGGGGTTAACGACATGCGTCCGAATGTAATGTACAGATAAGTAATCCGCTTTCCAGTCCAGGATCCTACAGTACTTCTGCATCCACCCGCAGCTGTGCCAACTACGGTCAACTGTTCTGAGGATAACCAGATGAACCTATGGAAGCATGTCTCTTCCTCGATCGAGCATACCTCCGACCCAACTTCACACGCAAGTGTTGGCACCTTTCCACTGGCCAAAGCATATGGGAAAACAGAATTTTCGCGCGCTCACCCACGCACGCGCGAAAGAGGAGTCTCGTCTCTAATGTCATGCGGGGGCATCTCCGCCGTTTCGGTGTTCCTAGCACCCACGGAGAACAAGACGAAATGGAGGAAATGGGGTCCTCCACACCCACCTGCAGCCTCATCTGCACCGACACCGCTCGAAATCGGACATCATCACTTTGGAGTCAAGACACCGTCTTGACGTTGGCGACAAAGACCCGCCTTTGTTTCCAACGTGAAGACGGTGTCGGTGCAGATGAGGCTGCAGGTAGGTGGGTGTGGAGGGCCCGATTTCCTCCGCTTCGGCTAGTTCTCCGTGGGTGCTAGGAACACCGAAAGTAAGTGTAGACATGTGCCCCCCATGCATGTATGTTCGCTGCCAGATCGAGCGAGAAACGGGCCACCCGCGGCTGATCCATGGAACTGCCGTTCAGAGAATGAATCTGATGACGTTTAAGGCTCTCAAGAGCAGATCTCAACCAACCGAGAAGGGAAAGACCACGGTACTCTGGATGACAGCAATGGTTCAAATGCGGACACGGGCTCGCAACAAAACTCAAACCGTTCGCAGCTTCCGTTTCGTCTCTCATGTTGACTCCGCTTGTGATTCGGCTAACACATTTGGGGAGCGTGGTGGTGCCTCCTCTCTCTCAGTAGCCCTGCCGTGGCGCAGGTCACGCGAGTGTACATAGCCTCGTCGGCTTTGTCGAAGAGTCGGTTGACTCCGTACAGAATCCCCAGCATCTGCGCGTGAGCCGAAGCACATTATTGTGCACGATTGGAGCAGGTTCGGTCTCCGGTCGATCACTCAAAGACGCTCCAGCCGTCGAAACGAAGAATTCGGTCGAGAATTCAATGACTCTCGAGCCGTCAAGACCGAGACTTCGGTTTACAGCTCAAAGTTTCTCCAGCCTTCGAGACCGAGACCCCGGTGGTCACTTTGAGAAGGCGACACGATGTTTCCTACTGTTTACGACACAACCGCCAGCAGCATACAGAACGTAGTAGGCAAGGATCGAGATCTACACGCTTGTTGCACCACCGCCGTGAACTAACTTTGCCTGAAAAAAGATAGCGTACTCGACGACTACCGCTTCTCTTACCAGAAAGAGAATCGCGAACTGGAGACCGTGCGGTAGCTCGTTCCACATGCACCTGACCCCCGACGGAAACTCAATCAGCCCTGCGTGCCACGGGGTGAATATCAGCAACGGGACGGGACAAGAACCGGAGGGCATTCCGTGAACCGTGAGGCCCCGACTCTGTCGAGCAATAGGTCGAAGATTTCGCACACATGAAACAAGTTTCCAATATCTGCATCGGTTTTTGGAAGGAGGGCTAGGAGAAACAACTCGTGGAAGATCCACCGGTCGACCTCAGATAGTTCACACCCCTGGACGTTTTCTGAGATTGGCGGTGTGTTTCGAATTTCGGCGCCATCACGCGAACCAGCACCTCAAGTCGCTCCCAAACGCTTGGGAACAGTGACTGCACGGTAGGTCGTGTGCATTGACAGAAACGCGCGCACGGTGGTTTCGATCTTCACGGTCAATGCGGGGTAAAATGCTGAGGCCTTCTGGTGACCAGAAATAACAATAAAGTAAAACGCCATCGAAGCAAGGACCAGACGAAGAAGGGTGGGTGCTTCTGTGCATTCCTCCAGTAGTACCCCGGCCGGCTGGTGCGCCCTAAAATCTCACAAAATCCTGTCCTTCGCTGCTCCCCTACGAAGACTGGCAACATGTCATTCGTAGTCTGTTGGACAGGATAATACGAATCAATCGAATGCCAACACGTGCATGTTGCCGCTATACATGGGTCCGAGCTTCACCATGACCGCCAAGGAACTCCTGTTTCACAACGATCGTCGGTGCGACGCTTGCCACACTCGACTCACATTTGCCCTCCACCAGGTCCACGTGGACGGCTGACACCAAGGCCAGCATAGCACGGCGACCGCCACCGCCAAGCGACCGACCGGCAGACGAACGAACAAAGGGGCGCAACGCCGCCTTTTCTCGAGACATCCGTCGGGTCTCGCGCTTCGAAGAGGCTTTGCAGGCTTGATAGCTTTCTGATTGTTGCGAGCTATGAGCTGCGCTTGGTGGAAAGGGAACAGACCCCATGCAAGCCATCAGGACGCTCCCAACACCAACAACCCCGAGAAGACACCACAGTAGGCTTGCCGCCCACTCGAATTTCACTAGCACACCTGGTGAGAGCGGGTTTTCGAGGGCCGGAAGCGGACGAACCAGTGACTGCCGGAGCATTCTCCATCGATTTGTGTTAACGCAGGTTGTATTCCTCATGGCAGAACCGGAGGCAGTATCCTCCATGAGACTACCGTAGGGGGTATTCCCCGTGAGATAACCTCAGGAAGTACGTGGCAGCATGCCGTAAGAGTCAGAGAGATGGCACCCCCGTGTTGGCGTTTTATTGTAGCGTATTTTACAACAACCAGGGGGGTACCAGTGGTGAAAAGGGTAGCTTTGAAAGCATCTCGTCGAGGGCTTTCCTGAGAGGTATCAGTTGGTGTTCGCACCCTCCTACTTGTGGAGAATAGGCTATACGAAAACGCTAGCACGGGGGTGCCATCTCTCCGACTCTTACGGTATGCCTCGAAGGGTCGACAACACGATGACACAAAAGTGTCCCCGTGGTTGGGGACGTTCATGATTCTCGAGTGGGTCCTGGCACTTGGGACAACCCTATGCTTCCAAGGTTGATCGTGTGGCATGTCACTTGCCATTGCGTAGATCCAAGGAGGCTTGTCGTAGGAGACGGTGAACTGCGTGCAAGGGGTCTACGGAGGAGAGTACATTTGTTGCGATAAACGATGTAGACGGGTTCGTCTTCATGGCTTTGGCAACCAATCCTGCAACGGGTTGGGGATTCGGAGACAAGCTCACTACTTCGATTATTTTCGATCATTTTCTTGGAAGCTCAATGAATGGACTTTCGTAAATTGTACAGAAGCTGTCAGATTTCGATACTGTATATGCCTGGCGGCTTCCACCGTAAAGTTAGGGCACCAGATTGAGAATGAACCTCCTGGAAGTATTTCCTCCGTGGAGATGACGGAGGCTTCCAAAATAGTCGCATGGGCTTCCGTCCATAGGCTTTTGGTTGCTCCGGCGGAAGCTTCCACCAAAACAAAACGGGGAATACACGCAGCCAGTAGAGCAGATCCGGTCTATTCTGTTGTATCCGCCCGAGCCTCTTCGTTCAACTGCAGTGATTGCTAGACGGCCTGGAACGTCTACGTGTTATTGTTGTTCATGCTCATCACCGAATCATTACCGATTCGAGTCGTTGCCGCCAAGAAGCGTCTTGGAAGCCGACCGTAGTTCTACATAAGTTGAAGTTTAGATTTTCATACCTTCTGCTGGACAACCCGCATGCTGTTTCGGCACCCTTCCGTTCGGCACACAGTCGGTACATGCGTGTAATCAACGCACCCTTCGCCCCATGCACATAAAGACTACCTGTAGTAAATGAGTTCTCGAGGTGGAGCACACGCGGTTTCCATTTGTTTCGCATGTGAGCTGAATTCCATACACACCCCACAGCAAGGTGCCATTTCACCCCGTATGCGACACCACCGATGTTCTCATGTGTTGATCACGTCCCGCAAAGTGCTTCGGTCACCCTCCCCCTTCAATCACTGAGATGGTACTTACGTACAGAACCCAGGGAGCGAGAATTGATAGTCGCGGCTGGGAAGCGTGGGTTTTCCGATGCTTCTTACGTACGGTCCTCGAGACAATAAGGCGGGTTGTACGCGGTGTGTGTGTACGTAGACGTAACGTCGAAGTATGTCCCTCAGCTGGAAACAGGGTCACTATGTGTCACTGAAAATTTTGGGGCGTTACAGCTGATTCCTCCGCATGCAACGTGGGACAACACCTCGGGCAAACCACATTATTATTGCTCCGGGTGCAAAATGCCCCGGACAGAGACATATAGTCTACATGTGGCTCCCGCCTGCACGGCTGTGACCCCGACCCTAGGAACGACCAGAAGCTGCCACGTGCTTTTTTTCAGAATGGATGCAGCAGAAAGAAAAGCGTCAAGACAGCTCCGCTCCATTGCGAAGTTGAACTTTTCCGGAGGAAACCACCACCGCCACCCCGCCCAGCTTGCGGCCGATGCTTGAACACAACTTCCCAGCCAGGAAGACAAGGGAAGACTTATGCACAAATGATACCGCGTAAATATCACATGTTTGGCTTCGGAAAACCTCTCTCACCCCCTTTGGCAGGCCCCCGGCGAACGAGGCTGGCCATGGTCCACATCTGCCAAACAGGGGAGGTGGGGTGGGTCACGAAACCGCCGGGGGAAGCAAAAATTTGTAATTTTTCTCCGTCGATTTCTTGCGAGCCCACGACAAAACCATGCTTTGAAAAGAAATCGCCTTTCCTCTAACTCAACCACCTAGGACCGCTTTGCTATCGACAGATAGTTGTACGAGAGTAGCATAGAAAGGACACGAGTCCCTGACGGTAAGGGGTAAGCGCCCACCAGCGCCTTCAAATGTTTCTCGCGAAAAAAATCGTGTTGCGGGAAGAATACCAGAAACAAACACGGCGACGAGGCACACGCCGAGAAACACTCAGCGAGGTTATACATCTACACACACGCAATCTTAATCGTAGAAAGAGACCACTGCTTCTGAGGGTCGGGCGCGAGCTCTGGCTTTTTGGGCGTTCGTTGGGATGTGCCAAGAAGTGCTGCTGTATGTGACGGACCCTGACGGCTTTGCCCCCGAAAAAAGTCCGGCTGGTTCATGCAAGTTCGCCCATCCAGAAAAAAATGAAGGAGGGAGGGAAATCATACATAGACTTAAGCAAATGCCTCGCTGTACACACGTCATGCGAACTCACCGGCACTGGACTGTTGTCAACTGTTTGATTAAACACAGAGGGGGATGGCATGCTCAGGGGCGGCTAGATTGGAGCTGTTCCGAACTCCTTATTATCTCTCTGTCTTCCTTGTGACTGCTGCGGTGCCGAACTCTCTGTCTGGTGTGGCTGCACCGAGCTGCAAACTGTCGCAAGTTGGGCCGATTTTCTGAATGTTCAAGAAAGAGCACATAGAACATTTCTGTACATAAAAGTTACGAAGAAAATATCTGCCGTCACTTTGCGCACCGAAGGTGAAAACGATACTACCACTTCGGTAGAAAGCGGATTTCTGTTCAATACGGTGTCAGGGGTACCAGGGAAGACGGGGCCGAGTTTTGTTTTATTTCGGGTGGATGAGGTTGGGGTTTTGTTCGTTTTTCTCCATCTAAGGTTCGTGCCTAGAGTTCAGCTGTAGTGTTTCGACAAAAGTTTTGTTGACTTATAGAGGCAAACACTCCTAGCTATTGGGCATCGAGTTAATTTGGCTTGGCATGACGGCCTTCTCGATCGACTTTTTTTGTATGTCTGCATTTATCTGCAATTGTCGGAGGGCAAACAAAATAATAATACTACACACACACACTTGAACCAATATTCAAAGCTCCACTACTCCACGAACAAGAGGGCGCAAAAACTCAGCGGATGCTCGTTCGGAAAGACCTCGACGTTAGATGGTCCCCAACGTCGCCACTTTAGGCACAGCCACCCTTTCTGCTGTGGGGTAATCGAGCTTTGAAAATTGGTCCAGCGGGCGGGTGGTATCTTGTGTCACAAGCGGTCTATACACATATATATGTGACGGTTCGGGTTTGGAGATGGCTCGGAGACGCGACGCACATGTGAGTGATCCCTGCCTGCATCCACATAGCGAAACCGACACCGGCAACAAGAGAGCAGAGCAGGGTACACGACAACGGGGGGGTAGAGGGCGGCAACAAACCGAGCTATAGTACAGATAGATACGGATCATCGCAGATTGGTATGCCACACAACATCAACATTCACAGGTTGAACATGTTGATATCAAAGCCGAAAAACTCTGCAATGTCAACAGCGGCGGAAGGAAATGGGAGAACGAATGCGAAGCCGATGTGCACCAAGCACCAAGCACCTAATGCTGTACCAGCACTCCTGTGCGCTCAAACCCATCGCATCCCCCAGTTGCCCGGTCGTTTATTCCCCGTTCAGCGTGGAACGGCTATCGAGGCCACGAGTCTAGATGGCGGCCGACCAGGGGAAAGGTTGGTACATTCCCGTAGACGTACAGATCTATTTAGTAGTTGTTGGGCAATTCATTTACTATCAGAGACGCGAGGAAACTACTCACAGGGATACCAAAGTGTCGTTTCTTCTGGAATATTTGCGGAGGTCAGCAAGAACCAGCAACCCACAGACCACGACGGTTCGAGTCCCGGCAGAGAGAGTTTTTTTTTCACGAAATAAATCCTGGTCTAGGATGAAAGCGACGCGCTGCATAGCTTGTTTTAGTAAACCATAATCGACTTCGTAAGTCGCGAGGGAAGGCATTGCTGTACCCTTCTCGCGATAAAAATACCTCAGGCATGAACCGCAGGAGGGGGTCCAACCCCCCCACCCTATGTGATCCCGGTTGGGTCGTCTAGCTAGTAGAAGTGGAGGATAGGGGCCAGAGGGGCAGACGACAGAGTCCAATGATGGGAGAAAAAAAAAAATCGTAAGACCACGACACCCCGCCTTCAACCGTAAACAACTACAGCAGAGAACGGGGATCCATTACAAACACGAAACACACACCAGCGCGTACGTTTTTCAACCATTGCTTTTCTCGTGGACCTCTTTCTTCAGCATCAGGTGATTACAGATGAGGTTTTTCCGATTTCTTCCCGAGAGGTTCCGGCGCACGCACAGATAGAGCCCCAAGGCACATTCACGCATGCACATTCCATCCGATACGAACGATGATGCCGGTGTGTTTGAGCGATGGCGCTGCTGGTCGAAGCAAACAAGGTTTCTCTTTGAGCGAACTACGGTAGTCTACCCTTGGGTAAGTCACTTCTACCGCTCTCTCTCTCTGGGTGCTGCGTGTGTTTCCTCCCAAAACAAGTGCGCAAATGTTTGGGCGTGTAGACTACTACTACTGTAGCGTCCGGCGTGTTCTTGGGGAGGAGCGGAGAACGATACTGACGACAGGAAGGCCAAGACGATATTTGGACCGGTGCGGTACTGCTGTATTTTACACAATCGAGGAAGTG